GGGGGGGGGGGGTGTTTAAGTTTAAACTACTCATTTATTTGTACTGCAATGTACTTAATTTTGTTGTAAGGCAATGTGTATATTCTCACCAGCAAAAATGAAATAACCCTAAAAAGATGTGAGAACCTGTAGGTAAATGTATAAATATATGAGTGCACAATCCTTTCCCAAAGTTACCAAGTCAAGTCAATTGATTCATATGTAAAAAAAAATTTAAACAACACTTGCTGGCTAATAGGGTTTTACAGGCACACACACTTGTAATCCAGGTCTCAAGAACCCAATTACAAACATGGAACTTACAAGTTACTTGATCTAAAATAAGTATTATAAGTCCACGTGGATGCTGATGAGGTACTATACTATCCAGTGTCTCAAAATGGCAAAGATTCACACTTATGTGTGTGTATTTGTGTATGTTTGTAATCCTATTGCCTGAATAGCCTAATCAATAGGTCTATCTAGTCTCCAGAGTAACCACTGCTATTTTCAGTTTTTAAGATCAGAGTTTAGCTGAAAGGGGAACATTATTATTATTATTATTATTATTATTATTAGCAGTAGTAGTAGTAGTATTATTAGTATTATTATAGTTGAGATGGAGGAAGACATGATCAGTCTGTGGACATTATCCAAATTTCGCGCCTGCGCAGTAGCTATATTTTCTAGCCATTCAAGCTACCCCAGCCAGCTAGACAAATGTAAGCTAGCAGAGATATAAATTAGACAAAGAAACCTTGTAAAGAGACTGAATGAAAAAGAGTTCAAAGTGACGGACCGTGAAAGGAGCAGGTGTAATACAAAGCTTTATGCGTTATTCGATATATGTGGGAGTATGAAATTGAGAGGTACGCAGTCACCACGTCTTTTTAAACTTTTTTGCCAGCAGCCAGTGTAGAGATTAGCTAGCTAGCCGCTAGTTAGCCGATGTTGTTTTCCCACCAGCAGGCTGAACCAAAGCGCTTCGTTAGGTAGCATCCTGTCTCAGCGAAGGCCCTTTTGTTTCACGCCGGCTAATGCGGGGTCTAAACAACACGGCACGGAATCAACTTGAGGTATCTTTAGTTATTTTGTGTCGCAGATGAGAAGTAATACAACTGATCTAAGTGTGCTGGGAAACATGCGAACAGATTTATTGCTAACATGTTGTGTGCTAGCTGATGACTATTCGCCGTATTTGCGGTCTGCTAAAGTGAAGTTAAGCTTGCTAATGAAAAGGTTAGCTACATACATATTGAACATAAAATCGATAAATATCAAAAATATGATGCTTCCCCTTTTATTACTGTTCTTATTTGAGCAAGTTTGTTGTTAAATGACGACATATGGTGAAGCGGCGTAAATGATGGTCTGGAAATTTGTATTGATACTTTAGCTAACATTGAGCTGTTGCTTTATTTGCTATTTATTTTTTAATGTTTTTCATACTAACGTACTGTTAGTCACACTTGTTTACATCTGGAAAACCGTATTGGGTAATGTAAGTTGTGAGGCTCAATACAACTCCTGCGTTGTAACTTTTAGCTAATGCAATCCAGCTAGTTGAATGTTAGTCCGCATAGCATCATCTGTGTTGTGTTACAGGCGAGGTAGCACAACTCCAGCTAATGTGTTGGCCAAAGAAAGTTGCAGGTGAATCTTAAGTTTAACACACAGACCTATCAGCCGAGCAGCCACCTAAAGGATGTGGCGAGCGATAAATTGTCCTAAATTATCGTTAACGTTTAGCAAAATACTACAAACCTAAATTACTCATCCGGATAACCAGTATGTTGTCGTGAGTGCTGCACTCAGTTTTTAATAACGTGGCATTCACGACTGATTTTTATTTATTTATTTAAGCAATCACTTTCCTGTGGTTCAATTTGACTTTTGGGGGGGGGGGGGGATAAATGTGACGGGTTTGTTATGAGCATTTTCTTCATTTCTAGATGCTTCTGTAGCATGGGGGCTCTGCAGTTACTACTAGATAGGTTGAACAGCTCTATATTCAAGGCCTAATATTTGTTTCCTTTTTTTTTTCTAGTATGTAACATCAAGATAAGGTCATGAAGGATCCAGTGATAACCTAAAAACATCCATCTGTGTACATTTCAACCATTCAAGAGGTGATTATAAGGAGTTGGTTCTTGCTCTTTAGGGCACTAGGCTCAGATGTGTGCAGACTTGATTGTGTAGATTCAGTTTGACTACTCAAAGCACTGATACAAGGCTTTATACTGGAAACCGCACATACACATTAGCATGAGTGAGCACTATAGCTTGCAAATTATATCACAATATTTCTAGGAAATTTGCCATAGCGATAATTCTGACATTACAGAGAAGGTAAAAAAAAATACTGAAAGATGTTTAAATGATGCTTGCAGGCAGCAGCATTTATAAGTGCAAGTAAATGATGAGCATTTTCCATTCTGCTTTTCCAGTGAGCTACTGTCACTGATGACATACTTCCTAATTTAAAACAATGCAGCGTTTATAGTGCAATAGTAGTGACAGTATGATTTAGCTGTAAGCAAACAAGTTGCTCGGTAGTGTTTTTCCTGAAAATTTTAACAATAACTACAGTGACATAAACTCATAGCTGTACAATACTGTACAGAATAAAGGAGAAAATCTTCCACCTAGGATGTTGCATCTTGGGTCCAGCTTTTATTTATTTCTTTATTACATGGTTCCACCATGTAAGCGCGTCAGTGATTTCCATCCACCGTTTGCCCTTGCTGTCATATGGAGCGCAAGCAGAAAGTCTTCCTGTGATGCTTGGTGGAGTCATTTGTTTTCTTTTGAGTCGGAAATCGTCAGCGCCTGTTGTCTCGTCCTTCTTAGCCTGGTTGTACTTGCAGTGTGTTTTTTTTTTTTGTTTTTGTTTTTATCTCAGAAGGTAAAATATGTTTGCTATTTCCACCTGTAGCAGGAACAGTTTTCTTGGAAATTTTTAAAAGTTCTGTTCTTTATTTGGAAATTGTGGAAGTAGCTCCATTTTTTAGGTACCAAAGTAACAGAGTAGGGAGTGTAAATGTATAGCATTGATATAGCAATCATATCACGATATATTTTTATAGAGACATAGAAAGAAGTCTCATCGGAGTCTACAATAATCCAAAACAGTTTCAGTCATACTGTGTCTACAGCAAATTCACTGACCGCTGGTTTTTATTTAATGAAATGTTTTCTTTAGGTGATAAAACTACATAATGTATGATCGTGTGCTATGGTTAAGCAAAGTCATAACACACACAGAGGAGTACAAGAACATTTTTAGGTAAAACATTTATGCATTTAAGATTAAGTTTACATTATTAGTATAATGTATTATAAAACATGGAAATGGCGACATCAGCTTGCCCTTTGACACTGGATATTGTCTCAGAATTGGAACACTTTTGGGCTCAAATTAAATATTGGAAATTAAAGAAACTTTACTTAATTTTTTTATGTAGCACATGGTAGGAGGGAGGTACAAAAGATGATTATTGCTAGGGATGTTTGCCAATTGTCTAAAAACATGACCAGTTTCATCATTTTTAATAGAAATTTACTCCAAGAAAGTGTGATAAGGATCACAGGGCTTTAGAGACTTTTGAACTTACTGCAAGAAAATATGAACTTAAATGATCTTACGTTAGGAGAAAAATAAAAATAAAACTGTGTGATCCAGCTCTGATAAATATGAGCAGTTATATGTAGGTTTTGGTATATTGCTGTCATAAACATGCACTGAATAAGTGAAATAAAAATGGCATTTGTATCTTGCCATTGTTAGAAAAATAGTATGGAGCACTTGATTTTTTTTTTTTTTTTTCAGAAATTTGTGGAGAGGCATGTCTTGTAGGTGTCCAAACATTAGACATACAGTTCGGACGAACTATAAATCCTGCTTTAATTCCTGTTCTGAACAGCCAACATCGTTTTGACCCTTTTTTTGCCAGCCACAACTGCTGAAAGATAACCTTTTGATTTATTTAGTTATGTAATATTGGCTGTTTTCATTGAAGCTTTTCTGTTTTGTTTTTTCTTGCTGTAATCATTTTTGTAATAAATCACGCTGACTATAGCTTTACTCAAACTTTGGAGATGTGCTTTTAGGGTGACTGGCGACTGGCTGTCAAGTTATGGTACTTTTTACATAAAGGAAAAGTACAGAGAATACAGTTAACTGTACATGAGGATGGTTTCATTTTCATTTTGTTTACTCATGTTTCAAATGTGTTTCCAGGCTGATTCATGAAAGCTAAACTTTATGCTGTTTAATTCTCGAGAAATACTCGTTGTTTATTGTTTTCTTGTAATGTTAGTGCTTTAAGGACGCAAGTGAGTGGTACCACAGAGCCAGCGATGTCACGGGTTCCCACTCCTCCTCCTCCTGGGGAGATGTCAAGTGGACCTGTGGCAGAGAGCTGGTGTTACACACAGGTATGGTCACAACGGTACTCTATTTGTTCTTTTCTGCACCTATTAATGATAGAACTATTTTTATTTTTTTTTTTATATAATTGTATTTGAAGTGGCAATCTCATACACATGTAATTACTGGTAGTAATGAAAAATAAAGGTAAATATACTACAGGTCACCAAATTCTGGGGGCAATAAAGAAAAATATTGACTCCCCCCCTTCCCCCCCCTTCCTAAATACTGCACATAGCTGAGTCTGTGAATAGCAGAGCTGAGAGGTTGATCTGTAGCCTGACATCTGCAGCTCCTCATCTAACTGGCTACACCCACTTTTTGTATTTGATAATAAAAGTAAATTCATCTCTTGCACACAGTGTGAAGCTGTAGCAGTAAGAACGGCTTATTTTACATTTGGGGTAACTTAATACAGCGTTTTACTCCCAAGTATGTTGTCAGAGGGACAGTATTTCTAATATTATAAACATATGAATATAAATATTTTGGTACTTTAATAAGCAAATTGCAGAGTAAATCATTATCAGGTTATCTCATTATAAATAGGCAGTGACCCTACAGGCATTAGAAAAATGAAAGCTTCTTGGTTGCCACTTTAAATGCAGATTTTTTTTTAATGTTAGTTTTAAAATCATATTTTCCTGTTTTTTATTCCCAAATTTTATTCTCCTAAGAATATTATTACTGAGGTCGGGGGTGGCACAGCTGTTAAATATCAACAGTAATCCAGCATACAAAAGATTACACCATACAACAGCAGCTAAATTGAATTTGGCCTTCATTAATGTTACAATTTTACATCTTTTTTGGGGGTTTTTTCTCTCCCTATAGTGACACTTTCCAAGTGATCAGAATTTACTGTGGGAGTATGTTAAGTTTCACATTAGGGGTCTGATGGGTCCTTATGTGTCTTATTCTTGTTCAAGGTCAAAGTTGTGAAGTTTTCCTACATGTGGACCATAAACAACTTTAGTTTTTGCAGAGAGGAAATGGGAGAAGTGTTGAAGAGCTCAACTTTCTCTTCTGGCCCTAATGACAAAATGAAATGGTTAGTACTCAAGATAAACCTTTTACTGCTGCTAGATGTTTGTTGTGTTTTTTTTTTTTCTTCTTCCCTTTAGTTTCTGTGGCCATCAAAATCACTGATGTGTTGAATAGCTTTTAGAGTTTTGGAACTGTAAACATGGTTTAGCTTTTTACTATTTATATCAAATGTTTTGCCTGATTGAGTTCCTAGAATTTTCTAGAACAAACCCGCATGTCAATAAAAAGTATATTTGTTTTCAGTATGTGAACTCTGCACATAGGTGATAATTACACACAGCTGCTCAGAAACATGAAAATTGCACCTAAGGGCGCGTCGCAGTACTGTTTTAAGTTTGTATGATAACTGACGTGCAGTGTTATCTGTTCGCTTGGCAGGTGTCTGCGAGTCAATCCAAAGGGACTTGATGATGAAAGCAAAGATTATTTGTCATTGTATTTACTTCTTGTTAGCTGTCCAAAAAGTGAAGTCAGAGCAAAGTTCAAATTTTCTTTGTTGAATGCTAAACGAGAGGAGACAAAAGCAATGGGTGAGTGCAGGATTTTGAGTGTTTTTTTTGGGTTCCTTTTCATTCCCTACTTGTAAAAGCTATAACAAGACTGCAATTTTGTTTTTTTTTCCTCTTGGTTGCAGAAAGCCAAAGAGCATATAGATTTGTCCAAGGCAAAGACTGGGGCTTCAAAAAATTTATACGGAGAGATTTCCTCCTTGATGAAGCCAATGGACTTTTACCAGATGACAAGCTCACCCTGTTCTGTGAGGTAATCTTTCCTTTTATTCTTCAAATTAAAGTGCTACCATTTTGTCTTTTTTGGTCATTATATTTAGCAACATTACAAATGACATGAACCACAATTTCTCTACTCGATTGCAGTCAAAAGTTCTATCGATTGTAAAAATTGTAAGCGATTAAATTCATATTGGGTTCTTTCCGCTAACATTTGGCTAGTGGAAAGAACCTGGTTGTCTTCTGTTTTTTTTTTTTTGTTTTTTTTTTTTGTACCAGTTGTTGTGTTATATATGGCTTTATAAAGTATTCATTTGTTATGTTAAATTTTAAATGAAGTCTTCAACATTAGACCACTCTTATATGAACTTAATTACACCCATGTTGCGACCTTTTAATGGATTAGAGCTCTTGACATGACCACATTACACCTGAGTGCATGCTGTGGTGCAACTTATTGTTAGGATTTGCTTCAAATGACATTGAACTGTTGGCAAAAGAAATGCTTCCCCCATCACACATCATTTGTGTTGGATCTTGTTTTCTGAAATAATTGAATTTGGTGTGTCAAGAAGAATGAACATCTACTGAAATCTTCTTTCAAGGGACAAGTTAAGTGAGGTGGCAGTGAATTTTCATGTACGTGCAATTGAGTTAGTATTGCTAGGATTACAATTTGCCAGCCAGCGTTTCCAGAAGGATTAAACAGTTTCAGAGAAATTGCCACTTTGATAAATAAATTGCATTCAAATTAAAGACAAACTGTCTCTTCCCATCAATTAGGGATGTCAGCAAAGTTAATTAATTTTGGATTTAAGTGGTTGTATGTTTTCAAGCATTTTGCCATCCTAATTGTAGGTTCCCTAGTCTGGATAATACACACTAAAAAGAAAGAAATCAAACACATATTGGCTGCTAAATGTTTGCTACATATTTGCTGCTGGATTTGTTAGCATGTTTTGACTTGATACAACAGCTTTAGTTTGTTTGTTTTTTTGTTTTTTTTCTCTCTGCTATACAGGTTAGTGTTGTCCAGGATTCTGTTAACATTTCAGGCCAGTCTAACATGAACATGCTGAAGGTACCAGAGTGTCAGCTGTCTGATGACCTCGGGAACCTGTGGGAGTGTTCACGCTTCACAGACTGCAGCCTCTATGTGGGAGGGCAGGAGTTCAAAGCCCACAAATCCATCCTTGCAGGTAAGACCTCCCTGGCCTCCACAACTTAAGTTTGTAACAACTCAGAGAAAAGCCCTCAAAATGGGCCAAGACAGACACATCTGTGCCGCCTCTGAACAGCTTCTGTGGAGAGCTATAAGTACCTCGAAAGGCTACGAGCAGTCTGTGTTCATGGCTTGATTTGTAGCAGCCTACTTCTGCAGTGGGTGCTAATCCACACCACTACCCCTGCTTGGCCCTGCTTGACCCAGATGACTGTAAGATTCAGGAGATTGAGAGGCTGGCTCTGCTCCCTAGTTCATCTTCATTAGACATGGTGGAAGCCTCAGTGCTCAAAGAGGAAGTGCTAACAAAGTGGCAGCAATATAAATTTTGCAGCATTTTATTTTAATAGTATAGATATTTGTGGACTTTTTACATCTGTCTTCTAAGATCTTAGTAATTTATGTGCTGTTTCCTTATGTGACATTGATGCGTATATGCCTGGATGAATTAAGACATTTTTATTTGCTTTGCTAATGTGCTCAATATTGTTGACGAGTCATTGGTAAATGTCAAAAGTGTATATTTTTTAATATATATTTTTATGCATTTTTTTTTTTTTTTTGCAGCGAGGTCACCAGTTTTTAATGCTATGTTTGAACATGAAATGGAGGAGAGTAAAAAGGTAGGAGTAAAACTTTAATTGTCACGTCCTCAGCAAATCCTTTCAGTACTGTTATTGCTTTTGTGTATATATACATACTAGGTTCTGTGCACTAAAGAAAGCCGTCTAAATTTGCAGAACCGTGTTGACATCAGTGATGTGGATCCTGATGTCTTTAAGGAAATGATGGGCTTCATCTATACAGGCAAAGCGCCAAATTTGGAGAAAATGGCAGACAATTTGCTGGCAGCTGCAGATAAAGTAAGTGCCCAGTGAGATTATGCTTTTATTTGACCAGACATCTACTGCCAGTTTCTCTTGTAAAAGTAGAAAATTAACCTTATACTCTTATGGTCTTGCTTTGTATTGTATTCAGTTACTAACTCACTAGTAACTTAAAGAGTGAAACTGTAAAGCTGAAATGGTAATTGTATGCAGTATTGTCATGGACAGTAGTGTACCTTGTGAGCGTTTGAAGCCTCCAGCTGTTCAGTGAATGGAACATGCAACACTATATGTAAGTCAATGAGGCTTAAGGGCTAATGCGGTCAGTTCTGTAATTATGTAGCTGTTAGCCGTCGTAGTCTGTATTTTTTACCTTTATTTATTTATGTATTTATGGGGGGGGGTGTGCTCATCCACAGTGTGTGCTTCCAAACACATACTTGTAGGCAGCTCTTCAAACTTTAAAGGGCTGATTTAACTAAGGTTGCTGATATGGTGATGTGGTTTCTCTTCTGTGTTGAGACTGATTTGTCTAATATTTTCGTCTAGGGCTGTTATTGTGTAGCTGGAAAAGGATAAACTGTTAGAAGAATCAAAACTGTACTGAGTGAGCTTTCTGTCATTCCCGTAAACACGGTGCTTCAGGGACGCTTCAAGGGAATTTCTTCAAAATCTGTACAAACCATTCTAACTCAGGGATGCATTTATTAGGTCTTACTGGTCAAACCTAAAGCTCTCTGTGACCTCACAAAACATTTTGTTATAAACGGTGTGTAAAAGATTGATGTGGACAACATTTAAACTTTCGTTGTCGACGTGTTTGTCACTGCTGTGTTGGTTTGCATTCAGAAACTATACAGATACAACATAAAGGCACAAATCAGGTAATTAGTGCTAAGCAGCAGGTTAATTAAGTCTTAAAATTTCACTCAACAAAACAGAAACGCAGGCTTTTCAGATCAGCTTTACCGCACAAACAGCCGTATGATTATTTTTTTTCAGATCATTCAATTCCGTTAAAATACTCAAGCATACTGGAGAGGTCCACTGTGGTGGCTGGAACTGGCAAAGTTACACCACACAGACAGCAGTCAGCTAAGGCTCCATGTGTCGGCACACCTGCCAATCAAAGCAGGCATCCTCCTAATATTAAACTCATACAGGATTCATGTCAAATGTCAAAATATATAATTTTTTTTTGGTTGTCGTTGTTGGTTTGGTTTGAGGGTTTTTTTTGGTTTTTACAGTTTACAATTTTTTTTTTTTAAGAAACATCCGTTCTCAACATGTTTAATGGTTCCTTTATTGTAATCACCTCTAATGGTAAAGCATCTCCAAGTATGAGGACATAAGAAGAGTTTTTGCACACTTGTACTGTAAACACAACACAAATTTCTTCATTCTCCCTTACATAACTCATAAGTTTAAACTGGATGTAAACTGCAACTCTACTGGTCGACAGAGGCATAGAACTGCAAGGTAGTGCTTTTAGTTTTCTTTAAAATGCTTATTAGAGAGTCTTCTGCTTCAGCATTTTGGATCCTCGTCATTTTTTCTCCATTTCTATTAGGATTGCTGAGTCATGCATTCCAGTAAATGATTGCATCCGTAGCCTTAATGTGCATTTGCACTAACTGTGATAAAACCGTAAGTCACCGGCATTTATTTAACGTGTAGACTATAATCGCTGCTCTCTGTGTTCCCCCCCCTCGTTCCATCACCTCCACCCCAGTATGCTCTTGAGCGTTTAAAGGTTATGTGTGAAGAGGCCTTGTGCAACAGCCTTTCAGTGGAGAATGTGGCCGACACCCTCATCCTGGCTGACTTGCACAGTGCCGAGCAGCTCAAAGCACAAGCCATAGATTTTATCAACAGGCAAGTATCGCAAAAAAGAAAAAAAAAACTCCAGTGATAAATTCCTGCTGCCATTTCTGTTTACCAGCCCTGAATGCTTACCTTTTTATCTCCTTGCCATAGGTGCAGTGTCCTGAGACAGCTGGGCTGTAAAGATGGAAAGAACTGGAATAGCAAGTATGTAATTAGCTGATATATGTGACACAAGATTAATACCACACTCTTATCTCTTTCCCCAACCAGATGCATTAGAATTCATTGTTTTAGCCCAGGTAGACAGAGTGCTATTTGCCTTTTCAGTTTGAAGCTCCATATCTTTGTATCCAAGTTATTAATAGACTCATTCCTGGATAAACCCTGGAAATGGAATATTTGTAGAATTTTAAAAAGAATGCAGGTGGTTGCCGTGGGAAGATTTTTTTTTTTTCTTACTTCTCTTCCAGATGATGTAGTGCAGTGTTACAGGACACCTTGAAATATTAAGCTTATTTCTCTCTGTTGTATTCACAGCGCGACGCATTCCACCGCTCTATTAATTTTAGTTTATGCATGTGTGCGGAAAGCACTAATGGCCCTTATTCAAGTTTAGCATACAACTCACAAATCAAATCCCACTTATTTGCTTTGTCATTACAATCTCATTTATGTTTATTGGTTTTTAATGTGCAGATTATCATGTCTGAGTATCTGACTTCATTTTGCATGTGCTTACAGTCATGCTACAGATATAATGGAGACTGCAGGCTGGAAGTCAATGATCCAGTCCCATCCTCACTTGGTAGCCGAAGCCTTTCGTGCCCTGGCTTCAGCACAGTGCCCACCCTTCGGTCTTCCCAGGAAGCGCCTAAAACAGTCTTGACTGCCCGACTGTGTCCCAGGACTTTACTGGAGGTGTGAAGCATGGGTTTACAAAAAAGGACTAGCAAGGATACCACTCTTTATTTCCACCAAAACTGAACACACTTGAATAAAGAAGAGTGGGGCTTTCTGGCCAGGGATGTGGGGGAGACTGGCACGTGGAAGACTGACATCAATTGACTGGGGGGAGGAAAAAAAAAATTGGTTCACTCGGTGTTGCTTGCTTGCTTTGCGGCCCGAACTGAATTCTGTTCAGACTGGGTAGCAAGTCAAGCTCTCTGCTACAGTTTTATTTTTCCTGTAATTTTCAAAATGGCCTTAATATATCTGCCATTGCTCTGGAGCTGCTCTGGAGTACTTTGTCTATTTTACTCTGTGCCTGCCTTGTCACAAAGACCAGGCCTCCTCCAGGTTGCACTAGTTCCCATGAATAGTCATTTTGATATGGAGTTCTATAGGAACGTAACAAAGGTTTAACTAAATGGGAAATATTATATATTTGTAATGTTTAGCCCGTTTTGTGACTAGACATTAAAAAGCATGAACACTTTCAGTGCAAGGTCAGTTCTTTACACTTTTTAAAAGATGTGTATGCCCCATATTGATGGCACCATTTCTATGTAAATGACAGTTGAACCATCTTCAAAAGACCAATGTACAAGAAAGTGTGTCCTATTGCGTATTTGTGGGGGGAAATAGTGATCTGCCATTATGAAGACAGTGTCGATCCTTGTGAAACATGTAAGACAAAAGTGTCTGTACTTTGGCCCTAATATATTAAAACATTGGAAGTATATGGACATATTTACTCAGTCTCCCATTTGAATGACTTTTTCCAGATCATACGTCTGTGAACTGTTATAGATTCAATTTTGAGAATTTGTTTCTTTAGTATTGCCAACATGCAAATATTATATATTCTCAATATATTGTGGTTAACTAAAAGTGGAGAGACTAATGCATGGTCATGTTATTGTCAAAAGAAAGTGTCCAAGTACCAATTTTGTTTTAACCATTTTTTTTTCTGCAATTATCTGACATATTTGTGCAGAATAAAATTAATTGAGTATGTGCAAAATCTTCCTCTAACATGCTTGGATATCTGTAGGATGCTGAGCATCACTTCTACTGGCAATGTTATTCTGTGTTTGAATGGGGGGTTGTCATTTTTTTATTCGGTCCGTCTTGTATGTTGTGGCGTGACAGACACTTCAGAGGATTTTGTAAATTACGAGTAGCATCATTTTTACATGATATTACTCATCATTCAGCGTCATGTTGAGATGTTGAAATGTTGGAAGCAAAAAAAAGAAAAAAACAAAAAGATGAAGTTGTTGTCTGCAAGAATGCCTGCATTAACCCATTAAAACATTTTCCAGCAGTCTGAAGTGGCCCAGGTTTTTTTTTTTTTTTTTTTTTTTTTTTTTAATATGTTTTTAACTGGAGAATGTTGAGCTCAATATGAAGAGATTTCAGTCTAAGGAAGGATGGTTATTATCCACACCGTTTCTTTTAATGGTTGTACTAATGGGTGCAGGTATCAGGCTGGGGTGATTTTTTATTTTTTTATTTTTTTTTTTGAGGGGTTCTCGTTTGGGGAAAAAAATAATAATTAGACAACAACACCACTGTGATAATCAAAAGAAAATGTGCTTTAACTGCATTAGCATAGTGCCATGTTAAATGTTGAACCTTTGTTCAGCACATAAAAGACGCGCTTCCCCCCCCCTATTTTATGTGTGAATGCTTGGCACAAGCCCTAATTAAAGTGAATGTGAGGCCGCTCTTTTCTGCTGGAAGAGAAGTCTTCATCAGCAGCTCGCTGATCCTCATCCGCCCCTCTCAGCACAGATCCCAGGAAAAGACCTGATACCATCTCTGCTTTAGGACGCCTCTCCAACCTTTTATCTTCCTCCTTCGCGTTCCTCTACTAACTTTAAAGCTTGAAAGAGAGAGATGCCTGCAGTGTCAAAATTGAATTTTTTTTTTCTCTTATATTGATTGTCGGAAATAAGCGTTGAATGCTGAGAAGTGAAATGTATGTATACATTCCTTGTAGTTTTCCAGGGGATTTGGGTGCATGCGGCAGGAAAGCGTAGTGTGACTTGATGCCTATAAGGAGTAGGTGCCTCACCCTGATCAGATAAGAGTAATGGAAGCGAATGAAAAGACCCCTGTCCCTGATGGCCACGGCAAAATGGATGTGCTCCCTGAGGTGTACCTCTGGTATCATCCACGCCTGTGGACACAGATTTATTGCCCATTAAAAAGCTACCCTGAAATGTACCTCTTAAAATTGTGTGTTTATCCTGTTGAGAAGTCCTTTCAGGAATGAAACGAGACAACTACGAGCACCAACAGACTAGACCTGACTCGGTGTGACAGCGTGCTTTGAGCAAAGTTCAAATAAGGTTTAATGCCATAAAAACCTAAATTGATCTTTACAGTTACATTTTAACAAAATCTGAAATCAAATATTCCAAAATGAAAAGTGTAATTACACTATACACAGAAGAGCTTTTACTCCTATTTTACAAGGGAAACTATTGAAACAATTTTGAGCAAGCAGAAATCAAACTGGGTACAATCTGCAGTTACAAAAAATGAAATCAAAGCAATCTAACCATCAGCTGAAATATGACATTTATCTACATGATATTTCTTAACAAACACCAAAAAATAAGGTACAGTATACTTGATAGTTCTCTGGAAAAATTAGGATAATCTGACATCATATACTTTGAAACCATAATCAATAAACACGTTTAGTTTTACACATTAACACACAGCATTTGCACAAAGGAGCAGAACCAAAACATCAACATAGATCAACTCCGAGTTAAGTTCCTTATCGTACACCTCACCTCAGGTGATGGAATCATTTACAGCTGAAGTGGAAAGACATGAGATACATCCAATAAAATGACGCTAACAGAAACGTATTCTTTGTCTTTAGTGGCACATGCCCTAACCTAAAAACCCTGGGTATCTCCAGATAACAAAACTCATGCCGTTTAAAATCCGAATGGTTTTTAACAAAAGCTTTAAAAAAAATTTGAGTGATTTCTGAGTCGAACACATTACACCATGTACTACAAGACTGAATGTTATCCACTTTTACACAAAGTCAGCCAACTTAAGCCTGCTGTACTATTGGGAAATGTCTTATATTTCAAATTTAGTCCCTCTTCTCATTAAAATTGCAGATGGATTTTGTACTTTTGCCTTTACCCCCACCTTTTTGTTTCTCCACTCTTGGTAAATGAAATTTCCCAGGCTAATTAAAGCCTATTAAAGACAGGTAATGTCAGGGCTGGTGGCAGAACCATGACAAAGTGCTGATAATTGTCTGCCAGACTCACTAAATCCACCTGTCCTGCAATTATTGCTTCCCCCTCCCCACCTCTCCTGACACATTAATCCACTGTGGGGCTCACTAGGCAGGCTGATGCCTCAAAGTGCATCCTGCAAACACAGATGTTGGATCTCAGACTAGTTTAGCATACACATGCCTTATGATAATTGTAGCAGAAAACCAACACATTTTAAGGCGCAAACAAGGCTGCAGCCATGTTAAGCTAGGATATGTGCCTACATACAGTTTGTTAGTAATGTATGATCATGCTCTCAAGTTTCTTATGCATTAGATTAGTTGGATGGACTTATTTTGTCATGAGCACTTTAGGAAGTGGTTTGAATCAGTCAAGTCACTTGCTTTTAGTCCCCACAAAAGAACGATAACAGATCAGTAGTAAGACCATATTAATTATTCATTCCTTAATGAAATAATTCCATTGATCAAAATAATTTGAAGTAATAGAGACTGTCCTGTCTGTGTTCTGTTAACAGGTATAAATGGATGTTAGCGCCACTTCAAAGGCAATGATCATTTTGACTAATCATTCTTAATGCAGTGATCTTCCAAATGGGATTTCTTTTTTTCATTTTATGCCCTGTTGAATAGCTTTATTAATGTTTAGGTATTGTAATTGTTAACATTATTTAAAGTCCTGTCACATTTTGTCACATTACTATTTAAACAAGGTTCGAAAATTGTTTGAAAATGTTGGCAGGAGTGCAGCTCTTCCAGAAGCCAGCTACACGCTTCCAACTCAGCAGGGCTCCATGCCTATAGTCTAGCCTTGAAGGAAACATCTGGACAACATACTAATTATACCCGTGGTTTACAGAGAACATGTGCTGTTGTGATGTGGTGGATTCTTCCAGGGTTGGTAACTACCTTTTGAATCCCAAGCCAACCCCTAAAGCCAAGTCCCTGTACACCTAACTATCTGAAGTGTTAAACTTGTGTATTTGTGTAGTATATACAAAAGTTTCACCAAATCCCTCCAGTGTGCGTCCCTTCATAAGTCGCACTTCCTGCAACATGTCTCAGGTATTTAGGTATTTTGGGATAAGGAGTTTAGAGCTTGACATTTACATTATTTGAAGATAAAACAAAAGGCTGATGCAGACTAACAACTACTAGGTCACCCTGTTGAGGAGTAAGGTGTGTCACTGTGGTAGTTGTAGTCAGGGCATACCTTCTGGACCAGTTTATAGTCTACACTGTAAAAGGCTATATAGATGCATATGACTTTGAAGGGTTTTGAGCATAACCATGACACATGGCTCTGCGTCTGCTCCTGATAGCACACCTTGGATGGATCAAAGCTGCACAAGGCAGTCTTCTTGTTGCGATCCGTCTTCTCATATTCAATGCGACAGTTGAAAGATTTGGTGTCTTTGGTCTCCAGTGTGGACTGCTGGGCGATCTCAAACTCCACCACCTTGGAAGGTGGCACCAGGCTCACCGACACATTCCCCAGACCTGTGGAGTTGTGGCGGAAGTAAACGCTAAAGGTGCCGTTCCCATGGTCCACAATCTTTCCTGTGATCAGCAAGTTGAGTTTGACAGTCTTGATATTGGAGTGGAAGTCTCCCCAACCAAACATCTTTTTGAATTTGCCAGTCTTGACGATGGGTCTGCGTTTAGTTCTGGCCTGTGCGCCCTGAACATCTGTCTGGTTAGATAACCAGTCCCAAAAGTCCTCCATGCTGTGTAAATATGTCATTTCCCTTATGTTACTCTTGAACTCGGGGGAGCCCCTGGCAAACAAACGCAGGGGGTTGAGGATCCGTGGACTGGCCCCGGTGGGAGATATCTTCTGTTCATTATCGCTGTCCCTCCACTCGATGAGTTCTGTGACTCCTCCATGCACTTTCCTGCACGAGACCTTGATAGGAAACAGAACAGAGATAGATAGAAAAAACAATTAACCAACGTGAAAACCTTTGTGAAATGCAATTTCATTCATTCAAATTCATTGCTTGTTAACGTGACGTGTATAAGAAAGTTTTGACAAAACTCTGTGCAGTCATGTGAAAAGGGTAGATAGCAGCCAAGTGCTGCTAATAATAACTGATCGTTAGCAAGTGTGATCACCTCTATAAATACATTTTAGCAGTTTGTTGGTCTGGAGCATTCAGGTGTATCATAACACAATGCCACGATCTTCCCAGGAGTGCCAAATTCACCCCAAGGCCATCAAAACAGCCACAGCATCAGCTAAAGGTTGGCCCAACTAGGTCGCGCAATGATCCCAAGCATGCCAACAAATCTACAATCTGCAACTGTTTATGTTCACTTCTTAAGAGAACTGCATAAATGAATGCTCACAAAGCTCAATGAACTGAAGCAACACTGTAAATAAGAGTGGACCCACAATGCTGGGAGAGACTGATAAAGTTACACAGAAAACAATTACTTCAAGTTATTGTCCCTAAAGATGCTCATGAATCATGGGGTGTACTTAGTTTTTCTGATATGTTCTTTTTCAGATGGCAGTAGTGTTTTTATAGACTTTCATTTAACAGTGGCAGCCTCAAAGCCAGAAAGTTCTGGGTTTTAACTTCCTGTTCAGCTCAGGGACTTTCTTTGTGGAATTTGACTGTTCTCCTTGTGCTTGCATAGGTTTTTTCTGTGTGCTCTGGTTTCCTCAAAAAAATTTATGCATGCTAGGTTAATTTGTGATTCTAAATTGGCCATAGGTGGGAATTTGACTGAGAATGGTTGTGTGTCTTTTGGTCTTATCCCTGTGATGGACTGATAGCCTGTCCAAGGTGTTCTACCTGTCACTCACTGTCAGCTAAGAGGCTTCCTCTACTACCCTAGTTGGTTAAGGGTTTAAGAAAATGGATTGATGGGTGTTCTTTAAAAACTTTCTATTTGGTAATTCTACATAGATGAATTCACATTCATTATACTTTGCTACTCTGCTTTGCATTTGTCTGTTTCACTGACATGTAGCAGAGCAGAGAAAGAGAAAGGTACATACACAAATAATGAAAAAAGCAGCAAAGCTGCAGCTGTAGAGAGCTAAA